AAAGAGCAGGGAATGCAGAGATGTCCATGAATTGGAGCAGCCATGGGGCAGCAACCCTGTCTGATGTGTCCTGAGCACTGAGTGACCCTGGCTGGAGCTGCCCTCAGTCTGTTTTACACCCACCTGAAGCTCTGAGACCCCATTTTCCCCTTGTTTTTAATGCTGAGCCTGGCCCTGGTGGAAGGGGAGCGCTGGCAAGGAGACCCAGAGCATCTGAGAAGAGGCTGTGGACTGCAGCTCGGGCTGGTGGCAGCAGTGAACACCTCTGATAGTGCAGCACATCTCACCATGTGCCACAAGAGCTGGAAGCTCAGGGACTGGTTTCAGTGGAGCTCATCTCCTCTGACTCTTCCTCCTCTTGAGCATCTTCTCCAGAGACCCTGAGGGACAGACCAAGGCCAAAGGAAGCCAAGATCAGCCTCAAGAGCCCACACCACCTGCTCAGCCACACCGGGGCTCCACCCTCACTGAGCAGGGTTTAAATACACAGGATGCCAAGCTCAAAAATATGCATTTCATTTTGGTTTTTTAAAAAATGTACAGTCAGATTTTAAGTGGATCTGCAAGAAGACACTCAGCTATCTTTAAGAAAAGTAAACGTTGCAATTCACTGCACACAGTTTTCTAACCAGCCAGTGAGCTGGGTGAGCTGCAGCGTTTCCTGAAGGAGCTTCCAGTGGCTTTGTTTTTGTGTCCACCACGTGGGCAGAGACACTCAGAAGGCAGCACAGGCTCAGTTCCTGTCCCCCCAGTCCTGCCCTGCAGCCACAGCTCAGCGTGAGGCTGGAGTGGGCACCGTGGGCAGGGGCAGCTCCATGGAGGGAGTCTCAGTCACTTCTGCTGGGCTGGGCTTGCGGAGCTCCAGTTTCTCACCGAGCTGGTTGTAAAGCTCCTTCACAGCTTCCCCACTCTGCAGGAAGAGAATCAGGGATGGGGAAACAGACAGTCACACTCCATTCCAGCCAGAACACCACGTGTGCCTTCACCCTGTGTGTTTAACACAAAGCAGCACAGCAGGAGGAAGCCACAAGGTGATTAAGCCACAGCTTGGTACACTTGGAAAGCAGAGCTCGTGTTCCATTCAACAACGTCTGGAAAGGCAGCTGCTTTCATTTGCAATCATTTTCCCTTTCTCCTGCTTCCCTTCCTACCTGCTTGGTGGGCTCCAAAGCTTTCTGGAGAGACTCAAGTTTGGCTGGGGCCACCTTGTGATGCAGATGCAGCAGCAGCCTGAGCACATGTCTGTGCACATTCTCCTTCCTGCAAGAGCCATTTGGAACCAGAGCAACCAAGACAAACAACCAAGACAAACAAACACCATCATGAGAACAAGGAACAGCACCAGGATAAGTTACCCCACCACAGACTTTGTTACCATTTTCCAAAACTCCTAAGAACTGGAGCTTTTGTGAGGGACTAACTTAGTGTAAGCACAAACACTGCCTTGGACCTTCAAGGATCCAAGGAATTGTTCAACAGGAGTGGATTACCTGCACAACCATGAGGAGGGAGGGGGAGATTCTAAGTGTAGAGTGTGTGGAGGAAGCAGCAGCACATGCTGCTATGCCCCAGCAGTAATTTCAGCCACTTTCAGGGAAGCTTTCTGGAGGCTGAACTTGTCTGCAGACACCAGAGTGACTGAGCAGAGGTAACAACAGATTTTTGTGTGCTGCTGATACTGCAAAGAGCTGAAGTTAACTCTGCATAGCCAGAGCTACTGCAAAGCCTGAAGGATATTCTCCTTTGCAACTATTGCAGTTCAGATAATAATTCACAGTCAAGACATTTTGCTGACAAAAACTACATCCCAAAACACACACCTTTCCTTAAAGGAAAACAGCATCTGGCTGATATTTCCACTGCCTGTGAGGGATTTGGTGAACTACTGTTCAAAG